CCCGTCGTGTGTGTGTGCACCTGTGTGTGTGTGAGAGAGAGAGAAAGAGAGAGAGATAGAGAGTTTTCAGGTGAGGGAAAGGAAGCTTAGTTATAAGTTTAGTTCTGCCACCCAGTTTCCAAATGTAACTCTCTCCTTCATGTTTCCCTTTCTTTATACTTCCCTTTCTTTTCTTTTCTCTCTCTCTCTTTTTTTCTTTATTCCTTTGAGACAGGGTCTCACTCTGTTTCCCAGGCTGGAGTGCAGTGACGTGATCATAGCTCACTGCAGCCTTGATCTCCTGAACTCAAGCAAGCCTCCTGCCTTAGCCTCCCAAGTAGCTGGGACGTTAGGCATGTGCTACCACTCCTGGCTGATTTTTTTTTTTTTTTCCTAAATGTTTAGTAGAGACAAGGTCTCACTGTGTTGCCCAGGCTGGTTTCAAACTCCTGAGCTCAAGCGGTCCTCCTGCCTTGGCCTCCCAAAATGCTGGGTGTTATTATAGGCATGAGCCACTGTGCCTGGCCCTGTACTTCCCTTTCCTTTTCCTATTTTTGCACAGTTTTAAATTCTCTATTCTTCCTTTTATATTCATAGCAGTGTGACATTTGAGGGGACAGAGGTTGATGGGGACTAGCCCAATTCCATATAAATTTTTCCCTTTGTTTTCAACCAATTATGTCATGTCCTGATCTCTGAAGACTCCTTGGTGAACATCAGCCACCTCTTAGAAATGATTACTGCCTTCGAAGGTGAACTGTACAAGGTAGTTAAGATTATACTGAGTTTCAAGAATTTAAATTACGAGATGAGGTTGAGGGTGTTGGTCTATTTCTCACTGGAAAAGGGACTTCCCAGGTGATCTATTTAAAATTTTGAAATCTGTGAAAATTCAGTGAACCTATGGACTAAGCAGCGAGGAAGGCAGCATAAGGAAAGAGACCGAGTGAGTCAGTTAACATTTAATGAATACCCACTGTGGGTAGAACCCTGTTGAAGAGATGTTAATAAAACCGGAGTCTATTAAAGGTAAATGGTGATAAAGCAATTGAGGAGGAAACAGAAGGGAAGAAAAATATCGGTAGCGTTTCAGTGTGTGTGTTATACCCTTAACATTTTTCACATGTGTCCATAGCCGTGGTCGATTTGCTTCAGGAATTAACAGATATAGACACCCTCCATGAGAGTGAAGAGGGAGCAGAAGTGCTTATCGATGCTCTGGTAAGTTACACATCCTCTGGGGTTTTGCAGGTTTGTATAAGTTGTTGGCATTACCACCACCATCGTCTCTGAGAGTGGGTACCAGGTGGAACTCCACAGTGACGCTGGTCTGTGGCGAGACCGGCGTGAATAAGGAGAGTGAAAAAGTAGAGATATGTCTGGGGCAGTGCTTTATGCTTTGAAACTGTGTCAGGCAGAGGCCTCGCCCTCATTAAGTCTCTGCAGTGGGCAGGGCCATTTCTCATTCTTCTCACCACATCCTTTCACATTGGCATTATTGCTGCTATTCCCATATACAGCCATGATGCTGTGGCTTAGAGAGGCCAAACAAATGGCCCGTGGTCACACAGCCAGGATTTGAACCTGTGGTCTCCGAGACTCTATATTTTCTGCCCCTTTCTTTCCTCCTGTCTTTTGTTGCTACTGACCTTTTTACAAAGAGCTTTCACAAATGTTTTTCTCATCTGGACTTTCTAATCCCAAGTGCCAGTGAGAACAGGTATTATTACTCATTTTACAAATAGGTCATCAGAGAGGAATTGGAGAATGTTAAAAATGAGAATAAACCTTATAGCTCATTGAGGCCCGAATGTCTTTCCTTGTCTGTAGAAGACAGGGCAGTCGATGTCTGCAGTCTTTTGAGGAGCCTTAGGCCAGGCCTCAGAATATTCCTCAGCTATTGATCCACGCAGCAGCCAACCCAGAGGAGCTGGTCTGTGAGGTGCAGCTGTGGCCAGGTGCCAGAAAGTCGAACTGCCTTACATGTGAGGAAACCCAGCTGCAGAAGTGAAGACTCCCACTGGGTTGCTGAGCCAGTCCTGTGACAGCTGATAAAGAGCCTGCATGTTCTGATCCCCACCACAATTCTGTTTCCACCGCCCTAGATTTCCTAGTTCACTGGTGATCAGAGAGGGCCACAAAGCTGAAAAGGCACCCCAGCTGGCCAGTGGCAGAAGTGCATCTAGTCCAGCCCCTACCCTGATACCACCTGTGGAGCTCTGTCCACCTGCAGAGCTGTATCCTTCCTCAAGGCTCTGTGGGTTGTTCTTCCTTCTGTTGTCTTCTCTTGTCTTTTCTCTCTGGTAAGGATGTTGGTATTGGTTTTGATTCAGTTAGCAGTTTATCAAAGATCACTACAGCCACTTGTATTAGAAGCACCTGGGGTGCTTGTTTGGCTACTTGCTAGTCCTACCCAAGACCCACTGAATCAGAATGTCTGGGCCCGGGGTCCCAGATGATCTCAAAACCCACTGCTACACTGCCCACCCCCTCCTCACCCTTTCTCATAATGTTCTCGACACTAGAAATTTCCCATGTGCCGTGCTTGCTGCTGGCATTTGGTGTGAATGAAGGGGTTGTGAACCCACTGGTTATGAAGAACTGGCTCTTACAGGGAGTGAGGCTGGAGTCCAGCAGGGCCATTTATGACTGAGTATAATGAAAATTTCTATGGCCATTTTTCTTTCAGGCTCCTTTAGAGAGCAAACTGCTACTTTTATAGAATTCAGGGCCTTTATTTTTCCTTTGAACCACTGTGCAGAAAGAAAAGGATGATGTTGGGAAGTCCTTTTGTTTTGAGGGGCATCTGAGGAAAGACTGTGGCACTTGCTCCTACTCTGTGTCCCCGCAGTGTCGTTGTGCAGTCTTACCTTCCAGAGGTTAATTACATGGCTCTGAATGAGCCTTCCTGCCTGGTCCCTGGGCTGATTTTAATTACCATCCTTTGCCTGTCTGAATAGGGAAGACGAGAGAGGAACAGCTAGTCTGGCTGTTGCATGTAAAACGTACCCAGAAACAGCAATTCACACAAAAGTCCCCTTTGTTTTTTCCATGTTGCCAAGCCCACCGACAAAAACTGCATCTTGGCAGATTTTATTGTTTGTTTGGAAAGAAACAGTTCACCCTCAGTCTGGGGAGCCATTAGGTAACTGCTATGCAGGATGTTCTGTTTGTTTAGTTTAGTCTTTATTATTATCATATTAGTTTAAGATTTTGACTCTTACAGGTTTATCCTGGTGGGGCTGGTAGGAATCACAAGCATTGAACATTCCTGGACTCCAGTAGATTATTTGCTTGTCTGCAACCAGTCAGAAGTCATCAGTAAATATCAGAGAACAGAACTGGCGGTGTTCTTCCATTTACTTTTTTTACTCTTGTGCTGCATTCGGGAAGAAATTTGATAAGTACTGTCATATTACAAGGGTTGAGTTGTCTTTGTAGTTTTAATTTGGGGCCAATATCTGAGGCCTGGAATTGCATGAGCAGAGGCTAGAGGGCATGTGGCAGAATTTATTGTGGTGTGCAGTTTGCAGTTATTGCTTTGGTCTTTTTCCCAGTTGGAAGTCCTAAGCAATAGGATAGCACATTTGTGGGGAAAGAACGCTGTCCTGGCATTCTCAGGGATCTTCAGGGTTTTAAAATTTGGTTCATATCTACTGTTGTTACTTACACAAAAGGCAAATATTTGTGCTTTGTAACAAGTTGATCTGGTAGCTTGGAAAATGGACTCTTTTCTGAAGAGTGGTAAACAAGAGGGTATGTTGCTTTGATGGCACTTCTCTGGCTTACCTCTCCACAGATGACTTTGGACTTCTTGAGAGTGATGATTAAATTACAGTCATTTTTCTACTTGCCAGTCCCAAAACTTGCCATGTGCTAGGTAGTCCCATGCCTTTGCTCATGCTTTGCCTTCCGCTTGCCTAGCCTTGCTTCTCTGGGGCTACCTGGAATACTACCTCTCATCCTGTGAGGCCTGACTTAAACTTTATCTCTTCCCTTTTGAGTTTTTTCCAGACTCATCACCTCAGCAGGATGTGTTGTTCTAGCACTTTGTACATCCTGGCACTTGTCACATTGGATTATAGACGTCTCTTTATGAGTTTGTCCTTCCTGAGGGGTGATCCCCATCAGGGCAGTGGTCAGAGCAGTGGCTTTGTCACTTACCAATTCTGTGTCCTTGGGAAAGTTACTAACCTCTCCATACTGTTTCTTTTTCTGTAAAATGGAGATAACAGTAGTGCCTATCATACAGTACCAAAGCGAGGAACAAGTGAGATATTTAATAAGTCTTTAGAACAGTCTGGCACAGGGTAAACACCTGATAAAAGTTGACCATTATCATTATAAAGGTACTATGCCTGGCAGATATTAAGCACTTAGCAAATGTCAGGTTAAAATTGTATGTGTCATCTGCCACACAGTAAGATGTCTGTGAATATTGAGTTCAACAAACATTTTTTTCAGTTTAAAAAATATTTCAAAAACATTTTGAACAAACACTCAATAAAACCACATTTAGGTGGGGTGGGCCTAAATAAGACATGAGAGGATAGAGCTTTAGTTTTTATTTGTTTTTTTTTTTTAAAAAAAGGAAGAAATAAGTAATGATAATACAAGGCAGAACATTGAAAACAGCTATGAGAGGCATGCTTCTGTGGACACCAAGAGGAGGGAGCGCTCACTTCTGATGGAATAATCAGGAAGGGCTGCAGAGCTGCAGGTATCAGCAATGGCCTCTGAAGGGGGCCTTTGATATGAGAGCATATGGAGGTGTCCCAGCCTATGGAGATGAAGTGTGGCTGGGTGGTGTAGCTGGCCAGTGTCTAGGAGCCAGCATTTGCTTTACAGAAACTCTTTATAGAGTTCCACAAAAGTGGCTTTGATGTGGACTTCCAGGGAACTACCCTCCATACCCATTCCTGCACTCAGTTAACCCTACTGAGATGTTAAACTTTGAAGCCCCATCTCGGTTTGCCTTGGACTTGGTTGGCGATGGATTTGTGCTGCCCAGGTGAGACTGAGGTTGGCCAGGTTTATGTTGCTGTAAGGGTACTTACTATGAAAATTCCTGGATCTTATTCCTTCCCATTTCCATTCATGTTCTCACCTTCATCTGTATTTGTTCCAAAGCAAAATTCATTTGTTCATTTGTTCACTAAATGTTTATCGAGCACTTGATGTGTTCCTGATTCTGGGAACCAGGTGTATAGCTGTGAGCAAGCCTGAGAAAGCCTCTGTTTTTGTGGAGCTTACATGGTATGAGCGTAGGGAGAAACAGTTAGATACATAAACAAGAAAACTATCAGAGAGTGGTTCCCTGTTTAAGAGAATTAAAATAGAGTGATGTGAGATAGAGTGGCTGGGAAGTCAGGTTGGATTAAATAGTCGGGCAAGGCCTGAGTTCTGGAAGAAACCAGCCATTCAGAATGTTCAAGAGCAGGATGGGAAAAGGGCAAAAGACATAAGGCAAGACTGAGTTTGACATATTGAAGGAACAGAGAAGGGGCCAGTCTTGTGAATGTACAGCTGGGGTGAAGGGAGAACACAGAGTCAGGGCCAGACCACACTGGGCTCTGTGGGCCTTGGTGAAGAGGTTGGGTGGCATTGCCAGGGTGAAGGGAAGTAATTGGAGGATGTAAGCAGGGGAGTGGTATCGTAGCCTGACCAGCGTTTTAAACAGGGCTTCTAGCCGCTGTGTGGATAATGGACTGGAGGGGCAAGAATGGAAGCTGAAAAGTTACAGCTCGGATACAAAAGGCCTGAGTTTTGCGTTATGACCATGTTACTGTATTATTCTCAAAACTTGTTTGATCAAGATTCAGTGGGTATGGGTTTTATTGTTATTACTGTTTTTTAAATATGAAATTTCTGAAACTCTTAGTAGGCAGAAAAACCCCAGTCTAACTCTTGAGAAAGCTTATTGGCAGATTGTACCAGATAGAAAAAGAATCCTCCTTCAAACCCTCTCATCTGTCTCTTTTTTATTTCTTCCTCTTCTCTTATATCCGTCCTCTTTGGTCAAGTGGAAGATAATATCTGATCGTGCCCTTGAACTTTATCTCAGTAGGACCTCCCGGAATATTGTTTGGGAGGCCTGCTAACAATCAGAAATAACAAATGACTTATCAGAAAACATCACACCCAAAACAGTCCTGATTTCCAAGGCAAGGGTTCTCCAGCTGATGCTTTAATCCCTAAGCAGGATTTGTTTTTAGTTTCAGACTTTGTCACAGGTCCAGAAAATTGAACGTAGGCCCAAGGGGCTGGAGGGAATAGATCAGAATGCTAATTTGTACTTTTACTCAGTGATATCCAGAGCCATGCATAATATAAATATTTTTTTAAGGTTTTTCTGAGCTAAATGTATTCTGACTGCTTTTGGCCTTCCTGCAATCAGATAAAATTGCACTTAACCCAACTAAACATAAAGTTTTACAGTTTGCAAGCTTAAAAAGGGGTTGGATTTCCGTAGCAAGAAAAAAGATTTTCCTCTAGCCGGAGGCCTGTTATCCGTAACCATTCAGCTCTAGGACTTAAACGCATTGCTCACTGACAGTGTCCCCACCACCTTCTAAACAGCAGAGATGGGAAACATAACTAAGAATCAAAGAAAGGGGGAAAAATAATGCAGATAAAGCGGCAATAAGCTATTGAAATTGGTGAAGCAGTTTGCAGAACTGGCAAGCAGGGTGGTACCCAGTGGAGTAGTGGTGTCTTCTGCTTTAGGATTCAGGGAGATTATAAGTCAATCACGGTGATTTAGGGAAAAACATACTGTGACATGGTTCATATTTTTCCCCCAGATGTTTTTCTGTTTTCTCTTACATACTCAAATTGTCCAGTTAATTAAGAAAAACATTGTAGTGGATTTCTTTAGTGAAGCTTTTGCTGGCTATGAGATTTGAGAGCAAGATTGTATAGCTCTTGGCACAAGATGGGAAAACAGCACTTTCCTGTATTTACAGGCTCCCAAATCTGGCATCAGTGTTTCTTCAAATAGTATCCCCTCCTTGTTCCTCACACCATGGCATAAAGGAGAGCCTAGAAAAATCTAATTCATTTGTGATTCAGGTATCACAAATTAGTCAATAATTTCACGTTTCCCTTGTCCACATATTTCCCTTACATCTCACCCAGACAGAGTAAAGAGTCCATGTTTCAAGATCTATGCCGCCTGCCATTGCTTGCCTCCTCAAGCTCGGTTTGAATTGTGTCTATAGAATACTTTACATGCAAGGGCTCTGGAAGTATTTGGTTGGATGAGATCATTTCCTTCTTTTTTCTCCCTCATTCTCTCCCCTCATTGAAATAATGGGGGATTATGGGAAAAAGTAGAGTTGGAGTTGGGCACTTCTGCCACCAGCTTTGTGACTTCAATCAGACTAATTAACCTCTCAGAGCCTTTACTTTCTCGCCTGTGAAAGATGTGAGAATTACATGAGGATAAATGGAGCAATTACAGTGCACAAACTATGTGTTCCATCAGTTTATTTAAATTTAGCAAGTTTTACTGAGTATCTGCTGTATATAGCATTGTAGTAGACTTAGGATATAGAAAGATGAATGAAGCAAGGTGCCTGCCTTTCAGGAACTTGGCTTTTTCTTAGCCAGTGGAAGAGAGGAACAGTGAATAATCAGGTATCAACAGGGTAAAGGGCTAGATTCAAACCTTCTACTTGATTCTTTGAGCAGCTGCCATGAACTAGACCTAGGGTAAGGCCTGTCACATATTTTCATTTACTCTTTAGAACTTATCCCCATTTCATGAGTGAGGAAACCGAAACACTGAGAGGTAGGATGACACAGGTATGCAGCAGACCGTGTCTTCAGGTGGCTTTACTTATTGGCTGTGCTTAAGAATCCGTTACCAGATGGATCATCCCTTCTTGATGACAGAAAACTAGGTGTTTCCTTAGTTATCTTCCTTGGTGTGCCTCAGGGCTACCTAAGGGCAGTCTCCCTAGGACACAGATTGTGCACAGGAGGTAGCATGAAGTAGTAAAAGCATCATTTCACCTAAGGAGAAGGAAGCCTGGTTTTTGCCTTTGCCTCCACTGCTCCATAGCTGTGTGGTCTTGGCTGAGTCACTAACGTCTTGAACATCAGCTGTATGGTGTGGCTACTGAAAGTTTCCTATCTGTCTCAACGTGTCTGACTCCATTAAGGGAAATGCAGTAGCTTTCTGTGCATCCCATGTCATACAAATAGAAGATATTTTATTGTGTTGATTATTCCTTTTAAGAGGGAACTATAAATTCTTTATAAGTAGTAGTTTCATAAAAGCTTAGCAAGGAAACAGGAATGTTTTGAGGTCAATATAAAATGTGACTGGTGAACATTCCAGCAAAACATCTTTTGGTGCATTGGCCTAGAAATGTGTTTTGGCTTGAATGAACCGCTGATCTGACTTAAGATGGCATTCTCGTGAGTTGTCTAAGTACCACAGAGAAGGAGAAAGAGCACAGGGCTTGGTTTCAGATGGTCTGTGTTCAAGTGCTAACACTGTCACTCACCAACCTTTTAACCTTGGATTTTACTTTGTCTCCTTGAGCTCCAGTTGACTCATCTGAAGTTAGAGATAATGATGCCTGCCTTTTACTTACCTCAGGGTCACTTTAAGACTTAAAAGAGATAATGGGATGGGAGAGCACCTTGTAAACCATAGATTGCTGCTTTTTTACTTACTTTGTTCATTCAAATAGTGGAGAAGTAAGTATGGGAACGAGAACATTTTGGGGACCATTTTGTAACATCCCTCTCTCCTTTTGCTTCGCTGTTCTTGCAGGTGGATGGGCAGGTGGTAGCACTGCTGGTACAGAATCTGGAGCGCCTGGATGAGTCTGTGAAAGAGGAGGCAGATGGCGTCCACAACACTCTGGGTGAGAGGAAGGGTGCTTGCCTTTGCCCGAGTTGCTTTGTGTTTGTTTTGGGACTTTGTGCTCATTTCCCTTCCTTCATGATAGAGTCAATAGCAGGAGTGTTTTCCTTCCTTCTGCTCCCAAACTGCCTTCTCAGAAATGAAGACCTTTGTGTAAATTTCATATAACTGCAGCTTTGGTTTGGCTTGTAGGTAATAAAAGCAGAAATCCACTAAGTAGGTAACCTTCCTAGTCAGAAACCGCTGGCTCTGGTTAGCAGGCCTTTGCCTCCAAAAGTTAGGATGAAGTCTATGCTGGTTAATTTTGTTTCCTTTGGAATGTGTATATTTAAACATTTTAAATCATTTTAAGTTGGTTTTTCTTATCACTTTCCTTCAATGGAACGGCAAACTTTTGGACCGCTCTGTACCTTTGTAGGACATTTTATTTAAAAAAGAGTTAGTGTTTCTTTCTCTTCTTAGGTATAGACTACCATGTAAACTGTGAGTTGAAATATTGCTACTACTTGACTGTCCCTACATCAGATTTTCATTTAAAATGATTCCTCTGTAGTATTCCTCCTCTTCCTTCTCCTCCTTGAATCTCCCCAGTCTTTCCTTTTGTAAAGTTGTTGAACCAATATCCTATTTAAAATTGTGTTTTGGGAGTAGCCCTCTTTATTACTGGTCACTGTCTTATAAAACCAGAGATGACATATCTGTAAGCAGAGCTTGAGAAATGAACGAGGCCCAGTGGAAGCAGAAAATTTGATGAGATTAGATTTTTATTTTTAGCTCCTTTGTGTACCACGTATTTCTATTGTAGTTCTGGACTCTTTTCCTTGAGGATTATCATGAAGAAGGGGAAAGATGGGCACCTTGGGGGGAAGAGGAGGAACACAACACTCTGTAATTTGGGTTGGCTGTAGTTTAGAGCCAGAATTTGGCATTGCCATTTGTTAGCAGAATGCTGGATTTTGCGGTATCAAAAGTCTGTTAACTGACTACTGACTGTCTGTTAATAAAAAGTACCAGCCTGCCAGTCTACAGAGATCTTTTTGCAGCTCGGCCAGCTACTAACAGCTCGGGAGATTCTTCCCTCTCTCTCGCTTATTGAGTGCCTGGTGTTTGTCAGGCACTGTGCTAGATCCTAGGGTAGATTATGGTGAAGTAGGCATGGTCCTGCTCCTGACAGGGCAGACAGACAGGTGAGTCTTGAAAAGAAAGGAAAGACAATGCTGGGTGACATATGGTATCATAGGAGTCAGTGAAAAGCACTGTGGGAATGAAGAAGAAGAGCCTCCAAATTGCTGGGTAGGAGCAGCTAGCTCCTGTGCGTGACTGTGGCTGAATATGAAGACAGGTGCATTTTGACAGGTGGAGGAGTGGGACAAGGGCCTTCAGGCAGGGGAGTATCATTTGCAAAGTCATGAATGGGGCTGGGATTTGAGGAAAGACTGGAAATGGCCTGTGATAGTCAGAGGTGGGAGATGGAACTGGAGGAGTAAGTTTGTCCAGATAATGGAAGACTTTGTAAACCATGGCAGGAAGCTTGGATTTTGTTCAAGTGAACAATAGGAAACCATCTAAAATATAAGCAGAAGAATAGGATAAAGGCATGGAAGATTAAAACGAATGAGTTGATTTTTGTAGGAAATGGCAGAAAGTAATTCAGGGCGTCGTAGTGCTCTTCATCTCTCAGGGTTTCATTACTCCTCTGCTCCCACAGCTTCGTGCTTCCCCTGCCTGGTCATCCTTTAACTTGCCACTGTGGAGGCTGATGTGGGCAAAGGAGTGAGAAAGAAGATAGGAGGTGTGGTGATTTCTTCAGCCCTTTCTTCTTCAAAATTCACACCCAGTGTGTTCTGGGTATTGTGCTTAGGGGACACAAAAGTGTAGCTGTTTCATGATAGTAACATATTCCAGGATATGGAGTGGAAGGGGGGCTGAAAGAAATGAAACCGTTTGATATTAAGGACTCCAGGTGATTTTAAAAAAAAGTTCTCCTTTTCAGTATCATAGTCATGCAATAACTTTTTTTTCCTCCTAATTTTTAATTTTTCTATTAAGCAACACTTTGGCTGTTGTAGTAGATAGCTGGACCATATATATTTACTTCCTAGTACCTGGGAGTTACCTCTGCCAGCATGACCTTTCCCCTTGTGCATGTTATTTTGTTCAATTGAAAAGACCATGCTTGCCTGCTTTGCAATATTCTTGCTTCCACCTGATGCAGGGAAGTAGAACTGCAAATGGATGAATCAGGAAAGGGAGAGACTCTGAGTTCACCAGCCCCTGATTTTTCCCTAAGGCTTTTGCCTAGCTCCCTGTCTCTTTGGTTATGGGTTTCTGGGACTCATTCGGGACTGGGTGAAACTTCTTAGGCAGATATCCACCCTTTTGTATGTTCTGCTCTAGTGTTCCCTATTAGCATAGAAAATCTATCACTTAGCCCTTTTGTGAGTTCCACCATTTTCAGTTATGAGTTTTACTTATGGCATAACTGGAAGAAGAAAACCACAGCAACTCCCTGGTTAATCTGAAAATGACAACCCAGCATCTGGCTGGGAGGAATGCAGGGAAGTGGGGAGAGGAATAACATGCCTGTCATGGGAAGCAAGCTTGTTGCAGACAGAAACAAAGTTGTCCTCCCAAATGACTGGTGTCTGTCTCCCTTCAGCTATTGTGGAAAACATGGCTGAGTTCCGGCCTGAGATGTGTACAGACGGTGCCCAGCAGGGTCTTCTACAGTGGCTGTTGAAGAGGCTGAAGGTGAGTTTGGCTGTGGGGAACTGCAGATCATACCTATCTTTGCTCTGGGCGTGATTGATGCTGGGTTATTGGCATAGACTATTATGCTGGGCCATATGATCTAGTTTGGGAAGCTTCTGGTACCTCTTGCTTCTTTCTTCTCCATTTTTGTTTGTTTTAAAACAAGAGGCTTTGAAAATAGTCTTAGTACCTCTGAAAATACAAACATGTTATAAATACAAATTCATGTGATACAGAAGGTATAAAACTGAAAAGATCCCCTCTGCTGATCCCTTGTAGTTCCACTTCCCAGAGGCAGTCACTGTTAACAATATCATATCCATTTTCCCAGAAATTTTCTGTGTACGTAAGAGAGTGTGTGTTTCACAAACAGAATTATATAATATTTTCTTATGCAAGTTGATTTTCTCACTGAACTAATTGTTGCCTAGTTAATATTCCACCACACAGATGTACCAACATTAATCTCATCATTCCCACTGGTAAGTTTGTACTGTTATCAACAGTGCAGCTGTGAATACAGTAGTCCCCTCTTATCTGTGGTTTTGCGTTCCGCGTTTTAGTTACTCACAGTTAACCATGGTCTGAAAACAGGTAAGTATAGTATATACTAAAAGGTATTTTGAGAGAGAGACCACATTCACAAAACTTTTATTACAGTATGATGTTATAATAGTTCTATTTTATTATTGTTGTTAATCTCTTACTGTGCCTAATTTATAAATTAAACTTTTTTTTTTTTTTTTAAACTAAGTCTCACTCACTCTGTTGCCCAGGGTGGAGTGCAGTGGCGTGATCTCAGCTCACTGCAACCTCTGCCTCCTGGGTTAAGGTGATTCTCCTGCCTCAGCCTCCCAAGTAGCTGGGATTACAGGTGTGCGCCACCACGCCTGGCTAATTTTTGTATTTTTAGTAGAGATGGAGTTTCACCATGTTGGCCAGGCTGCTCTCAAACTCCTGATCTCAAGTGATCCACCCGCCTCGGTCTCCCAGCGTGCTGGGATTACAGGTGTGAAACACTGTGCCTGGCCTATAAGTTAAACTTTATTATAGGTACATATATAGGAAAAAACATAGTAAATATAGAATTTATCTGTAGTTTCAGGTATCCACTGGGGGCCTTGGATCCTATCCCCCACAGATAAGGGGGGGACTACTATATACAAACTTTTAAAAATACACATTTGTCTCAGTTTATCTGTATAATAAATTCATAGAAGTAGAATTGATAGGCCAAAGGCTATGCACATTAACATTTTTTGTAGTATTGCAAAATTATTCCCACTGATTTATCACATCCCACTGATAGATCAGCTGCCCCACTGATTTAGAGTTATCTGTTTCCCTCTGCTTCTAGCTAATCTGATGGTGAAAACTGGTATTATTTTAATTTGTAATTTTAAAATCAAGTGAAGTGTGTTGGCTTCTTGTTGATTAGCCATTTGTATTCATGTCTTTTAGCTTCATGTTTATATTCTTTGTCCATATTTCTCTTGGATTGTTCATTATCCTTCCTTCTTAGCATAGTCCTTGTGATTGTCTTTTTAACAGTTAGTACTGTCTAATAGAGTCAAGGGGGGAAAGAAGAGGCAAGAGCTCCTCTCAGAACAGTTTTAACCAAAGGTGTGATGGGTGGCAGTTTGAAACTGCTTATATGCTACTGAAATGGTCCTCAGGCAGGCAAGGATCCCAACATTTTGGTGAGAAGGAGGCACTTGTTTGTAGCTAAAGTCATGCTCTAATTAATGGCTTTGCTCTGCTTCAGAGTGTCATAAACATCCAGAAAGTCTGGGCTGTATCAGGTCAGATTTGTCCTGCACGGTCTTGGCAGGGCTAAAGGAGAAGGTTCTGCCTAAGATATCATATGCTCCTTGGTTTTCTCCATTTCTGACACTCTAGTCTTTTCCAGTCGTGTTTATTCAACCATTTGTTCCCATTAAATCTTTAGCCTTGATTTACATAATATATTGGCCCAAGGATGCTCAGCTAGCCCAGCTGCTACCATTAGTGGGTATGGGCACATTTGCCTAGCAGAGGTCAGTAAACTATAACTCCCTCCAACCCCCATCCCTCTTGCCTTTCAGTCTTGCATCCAGCAAGTAGTTAATTTGTGCATTGTCATTTGCAACTTCCTTTTGACCTCCTCTCTTGAGTCTAAATATCCTTTGGTTTTAGAACTAGACTTGTTTCTCATTTAATTTCCTTTACATCTCTCTAAACTCAGTTTCTTCTTTCCTCAGTATTCAACACGTTTTTATCCTCCCAAAACCTTGAGATGTTTTGGGAGCAACAAGTGGAGGAGAGGAAAGTAGAGCACTGAGTTTTAAGGGGGTGGCGTAGATGTCAGGGAGCTGAGTTGTTGGGGGAGTAACCACAGGTTAGGGACGCAACCTTAAAATATACAAAATAATTCAATCTTTTTTTTTTTTTTTGTCTCTGTTATGTCAGGACAGATTTTTCCAAGTTACTTGAGACTTAATACTCGTTCAGGGATCTTCATTAAACTAGAATGTCAGACCTTCTGCCTTTTGAAAGTTGTTGAAACTTCCCAGAGTCTTTTTTTTTTTTTAATTGGTAACATTGGAAGGGAAATTGACTTTTTTGAGTGTTTGACTTGGATGCCATTATCCTTATGATCATAATGAAGGGGCCCATTTGCTAGTTTAGCAAACTATTGACTCTTGCCACGTAGGCACTGCATTGGTGTGATCCTCAGGGCGTAAATAGCCATGTTGCTGTCTCTGAAACAGTTTTCAAGCTTTTAGGAATATTTAAACATCAAAATGCTATTTGGGTTTTTTACTGGTAAGCAAGTGCTTTTAGAAGAAAACTGTGCTGCCCAGGCTTAATTAATTCTTTCATTAATTAGTTAATGAAATAAAGTCCTGCTAAAGAGTGAGGCCAGCAAGAGGGCATGTCCTTCACAACAATGCCTTGCTCTTATTTCTCATAATCTAGGGAAGTACTTGTTATAATCTTCACTCTCTTCAACATCATGGTGACTCTTAGTGAGTCCTGGACCCAGATCCTGACTTTCACTTACTAGCTGTGTAGCTGTGGGTAATGGCCTCTTAACTTTTCTGGCCTGTTTTCTCCTTTGAAAAATGGGGATCATACTCCCTGCCCTTCCAATCTCACAAGGTTCTTGTGAGATCAAATATGAGAATGCTTTTAAATTGTAAAGATGTTATAGCAGTGGGTTTCAGCTGGGGGTTTGTTTTAAGATCACCAGTGGAACTGAAAAAATAGATTCCCACGCTGTACCCTAGACCTACTGTCTCAGTCGCTGTCTTTGGTATATTTTAGAAATGTTTGAAACACATATGATTCTAATGTACAACTCTCACTAAGATCCACTTGTCTCTGGAAATGTGGACCTTCTTGTTAACCATTTTACTCTGGAGACTAATTTAAAACTCCATTTTCACTATGCCATTCCCCATTCAGAAGCTTACCTGGAGTGATGCTGTGCCTTCTACATCAGATCCCACCTTCTCTGCCTCTTACCCTGGCCCAGTTTGACCTGTTCATTTTTCAGTTTTGAAACATTGGCCTTTGTTACCTTTTAGATACCTTTTTTTTTTTTTTTTTTTAAACCTATCCCCTGCTCTGCAAAGGTCAAAATTATCTTGACCTCTGTGTCTGGCTTTGTTCCTGCTCCTGATTCTATCAGGAATGACTGGCTCCTCTCTTCCATTCGTATTTCTACATTTTACACACCCTTCATGAAACAGCTTAAATCCCTAATCTTCACTTTTAGAACTAAAAGGAAATCTGTAAGTTCTGTTGTAGATAAAAAATTTAAAATTGAGACCTGTCAATATTAAGTGCCTTGCCCAAACCCCTGTAGCTAGTTAGAGATAGAACTAGGATTAAGACCCAAGCCTCCAGAATTTTCTTTATGCCCCCTTTCCATAGTACTTTGCCCCCAGCCTATACTGCCCACTTTCTTTTATAAAAAAATCAACCCCTTCATCTTTTTCCAATGGGTTCTCTTGTGAGAGTTAGCCTGTCTGGGTTCTAGCATCTACCCGCAACTGGGTGACGCTCTTGGAGCATCTTCTCTCCATCTGTAAAGTGGAGATGACTCCATCACCTGGCCAACTTGAATATTCTTATGTGTGCTGATTTTCTTTCTCCAAATATCTCTAAATTTTATAATTACAAGGACTGTGTCTATGTCATATCTGTATCTCCTCCCAGCTGTTCTCAAACTGTGTTTCCCAACCAGGAGCATCAGCATCACCTAGCACCTTGTTAGAAGTGCACATTCTTGGGTCCACCCAGACCCACTGAATCTGCAAAGTTGGAGTGGAGCCTGGTAGTCTGTGTTTTTGTTTTTGTTGTTGTTGTTGTTTTTTGAGACGGAGTCTTGCTCTGTCACCCAGGCTGGAGTGCAGCGGTGCAATCTTGGGTCACTGCAAGCTCCGCCTCCCGGGTTCACGCCATTCTCCTGCCTCAGCCACCTGAGTAGCTGGGACTACAGGCGCCTGCCACCACACCCAGCTATTTTTTTGTATTTTTAGTAGAAATGGAGTTTCACCATGTTAGCCAGGATGGTCTTGATCTCCTGACCTCTTGATCCACCCTCCTTGGCCTCCCAAAGTGCTGGGATCACAGGTGTAAGCCACCGCGCCTGGCCCAGTCTGTGTTTTAATAAGCCCTCAAGGTGATTCTGATGTAAGCTAAAGTAGAGTACTTATGTCTAGATTACTTGATAAAACCTTGCAATTTGACTGATCATCCCATATTTATTCAGTAATCCTTGAGTAATTCTTAAGTGAGTGACACATTGGTGACAGCATTGTAGTGTTGGATTTCTCCTTTTTGTATGGTAGCCTAGCAGTATATAGAGATATTCATGGATCTCTTCATCCAACAAATCAAACCTCACTAATTTATTCTAATGAGGATAAAAACCACTGCAGATGATTACATTAAATGGATTAACAGGTACGTAGATAACAGTAGTGTGAGAGATGCTGCATCACAATTAATGT